ATGGTGACCTCGCCCATGAGCTCGAAGCCCTCGTAGCACATGAAGGTGAGCGACTCCCCAGGCAGGTAGAGACGCTTGTACAAGATCTGGTACCCATTTTCAGGCAGCCCGGGGTTGTCACAAGCCAAGGTCTCCTCCGCTGAAACGGAAGACAGAGGAGCAGGGGTGAGATGCTGCCGATCCAGTGCCCCCACCGGCTCCCTGAGGAACCCTGCTGGCACAATGGGTTCCGTGCTGGCTGCTAGTGAGCATTCAGGTTGGCAGTTTGAACCCACTGGCTGCTCTGAGGGAGACACACGAGGGCGTCTGCCTCTGTAAAGACTGATAGTTCCACCCTGTCCTGTAAGATCGCTGTGGGTCATGATCAATGTGGAGGCCATGTGTTCTTTTGTTTCTTACCAGGTCTCTGCGAGCCCCAGGGCCCAGTAGTTAAGTACTCAGGTGCTAACAGAAAGGTTGGTGGATCCAACCCATCAGCCTCTCCTCGGGAGAGTCTGCCCCTATACAGATCTCCAGTCTCAGAACCCCACAGGGGCAGTTCTACTCTGTCCTGGAGGGTTGCTATGAGTCGGGATGGATGCCGCTGCAGTGGTCTGGGCTTTTACTAAGTCCCTAGGTGTCCTGAATGATTTGCATGCGGCTAATGACCAAGGTGTTGGTTTGAACCCACTTTGTGCAGCCCGGAAGAAAGGCCTGCTCCTGCGAAGACCTGAAACCCCATAGAGCAGTTCCGTGCCCTAACATGTGACTCCATGACAACCTCACGGAGTCTGTGACACCCCAAAATGTGTGGTCTGGCTCTTCTCCAGCATCTCCTCACTCCATCTTGACTCATCATGAGCTGTGGCGTCCCCTCCTGCAGTCTTGCCCTCCTCTGTCTCAGCACACATCACACATGGCCACAAGAGGACGAACTGGGCAGTGGAAGCAAACGCTTTCCATTGAGTCTGGGCTCGTTAAGTCTAGGATGCGTGGTGGCATCGTTGTTACACGTTGGGCTGCTTAACCACAAGGTCAGTGGTTTGAAACCACCAGCGGCTCCTGAGGAAAAAAGCAAGGCTTTCTACTTCCACCAGGAGTTACAGTTTCATAAGGCAGTTCTATCCTGTCCCGTAGGGTGGCTGTGAGTCAGAATCAACTCAATATTGCTATTGCCTTAGCTCTGTGACCCCTAACAGGGGACACAACCACTCTGTGCCCCAAGTTGGTCACAAGTAAAATGGAGGCAACAGTGGTCCCTAGCTCTTTGGAACTCGGAGGGTTCAATGAGGAGATGATTCGGATCCATGGCGGCCCATGTGTGTGGCGTAGAAGCTCCATCTGGGTTGTGTGGCTGCCGTCGGAAGGGAAGTGAATGGCCAGGTGCCTTTTTCAGCAGCACTGCTGGGTTCGTTTGAACAGCTGCCACCCTCTAGGTTGGCAGAAGAGCTGGAACTGTTTGTGCCACCGAAACTCAGAAGTGCGATCCACTGCCATGGCGTCAGTGCTGACTCACAGTGACCCTCTAGGACAGCGCATAACTGCCCCCGTGGGTCTTCGAGGCTGTTGGTTTGGTCAGGGCAGGTAGCCCGTCTTTCCTCTTCTGTGCCACCTACTCACTCACTGCCATCAAGTGGAGTCCAACTCAATCCAAGGGCGGATGAGCCCT